TGGAGGTTCAGGGTTTAGGGTTTAGGGTTTAGGGTTAGATATAAGTGGAGTTATAAGTCCCCTAATTTGGGTTACAAGTATAGTTACCCTACTTATAACCCCACTTACAACTACCCATGAACCTCCAAGCAGGCAAAGGATGAAACCGCTGGGAACGGGAGTACCCTGCAGGGTTGTCCGCCGTCTGCAGGGAGCAGTAAACCCTGCATGGTTTTTAGGACCCTAAGCCGTGGGACGTGTGGTATAATCCTTATTATGGGTAGTGCAGGATATATACCATCAACCGTAATCAGGAACATGAGGCTTTACTATAGCGCTCTGAACTCCGAACCCTAACTCCCAACCCCGAACCCTAAGGTTGTAGGATGCCTCAGTGCCCAGACCGTAAACCCCTAAACCCTAAACCGTAAAACCCTAAACCCTAAAACCCTAAACCCCAAAACCCTGAAACCCTAAACCCTGGGACCCTAAACCGCTAGACCCTAAACCCTGAAACCCTAAACCCTAAACCCTGAAACTCTGAAACCTCAAAACTCTCAATCCCTGAAGCCCCAAACCCTGAAACCCTAAACCCTGAGACCCTAAACCCCTAAACCCTAAAACCCTTAACCCCTAGACCCTAAACCCTAAAACCCTAAACCCTGAGACCCTAACCCTCTAAACCCTGAAACCTTGAAACCCTCGACCCTGAAACCCTGAGCCTGGAGGCCAGGGACACCGCCGCCAAACGCCGAGGCTGGGTGCAAACGATGTGGCAGGTCGAACCCCGGCCTCCCACCGTCAGGGTTTAGGGCGTTTAGGGCTGAGGGTTTAGGGCGTTTAGGGCGTTTAGGGTGTTTAGGGTTTTAGGGCTTGGGGTTTAGGGTTTAGGGTTTTAGGGCTCGGGGTTTAGGCTTTTGGGGTTTAGGGCTCAGGGGTTTCGGGCTTAGGGGTTTAGGGCTTACATGGTCTAGGGTCAGGGTTTGTGCAGACTTCCTTCGATTGTGGGTCTACTTACAATCCCTACAATTACCCTGAGGGTCCATGTAGCCATATATTACAAACGAGTACATGGACCCTGAGGGTTTGGGTTTAGGGCAGCATCCGTTGCTCCGAAGCTTCCGGCCACAGGGACGACGTGTTTCGGGTTTGGGTTTAGGGTTTTATAAGGCTTCTATAGGGTATATAGACCTTCGATAAGGCTCCAACAACGGCAGCTACCCACCTGAAACAACCCTAAACCCCTAAACCCTAAACCCTAAACCCTAAACCCTAAACTGTCCTAGATTCACTGCTTCCGTGGGAGGAGGTCACCCACGGGCGACTCCTTCACCTTCTCAGGTCGTAATCTGGACCTGGCTTTCCCCCAAGAGTTCCTTCAAGGGCTCCTTTAGATTTAGGGGCTCCGTAGCTATATTATAGTAACTGCAGTATGTACTGCAACATAAAAAGAGCTCCAAGCATGGGTACCTCAGCCTGGAGAATACTGTTCGACATCATTCCGAGCCCCATTTAAAAATCGGTCCTCCCTACAGGGTCAGTTCCCAAACGGGCAAAAATTCCGGAAACGGTACTTCCGAAAGGTGTAGCCCCTTAAAGGGGTGCTTCTTCAGGCATGGTCTTGTTGGTGTAGCCGCTGGCGCCGCCAGCGCCTCCAGCAGATGCGTTTGACGCCTCCAGAGCGGTCCCGTGTGTCAGGTTGTTGTAGATGGCATCGCGCTGACCCCTATGCCCTCGGTGCACTTCGAGCAGGATGTGAGAAGCGGGGGAACGAAAAGCAGTGAAAACCCATGTGCCCTAAGTGGAGGGCCGGTTCAACGTTTTGGTAGTGAAACTTTCGCCGTTGCACCGCCTTCCATGACACTTTGTGCTTTGAGACGAAACTGGTGAGCGGCATTCTGAAAGCAGGCGAGCAAACGTGCCTTCTGGGTCAGCTGCTCTGAACCCTTTTACTTAATTAGAGCGAAAGCTTGCCCCGATTAACCAAGCGGCTGCCGATTGGGCCCATGTGGCATCTGCATCCGCTCCCCTAGGGCGAGGAGCTCCGGCGGCGTCATCGGCTGCGGAAAATGAAAGAAGCCATTCAACAGCCTCAGACATTGGCTGGGTTCAGTCGCAGAACCCTGCCACTGCTGCCAGCGGCGGCTTCCGCATCCTGCTTTATATCCAGTGCAGACAGGAATGACAAGCAGTCGGGCATAAGAGAGATGATCTGGACGTGATACTGTTGATGGACAAAGTTCTGCATGACCCAAGTATAGTATAGTACCATAATTCCCATAGTTTATGTATACAAGGTCATGCACATCAACAGTACCTGTCCCCAAACCCTGTAAGCCTAAACCCTAAACCCTAAATCCGAAAGCCATGCATACCTCGGAGGACTTGTGTACCGTACGCTCCCCAAGCCCCTAAAGCCTAGATTCATGCTGAACACCCAGTGCCAACTCCTAAAACTCCAACTCCAAATCCTGCACCCTTCGGGTTTAGGCTTTAGGGTTTAGGACTTCGGTCCACCCAATTACAGTTGGAGTTTGGGGTCTTTGAGTTAGGGCGTAAGGCTTCAGGTTCAGGGCTTTGGCATTTTAAAGGTCGCAGGACCAAAAGCCTGACTGCAATATAGGGGCCTCAACGATTACAGTACGGTTTGGGGGTATAATAGCATGGTGCAATCAAAATCCTGCAAGGGATAGGATAGCATTACTCATTGCCCACCGTATACCATAAAACCCTGTACCCGACCCCCAAATAGAAGTAGAGTATTCGGAAGGTGAGTCGTTCGATCCTTAGGCTAGACATCAAATCCTCAACCGTCAGTCCCTGAAGCCCGTAAAACCCCAAAGTCCTTCAAGGGTTTAAGGTACCGGAGCTTCTAGGGTTTTTAGGGTTTAGGGGTTCCCTAAACCGTGAATTCGAAACCTAGGGCTTAGGCCCTAAACCCTAAACCCTAAACCTAGGGTTTAGGGTTTAGGGTAGACTTAGAGGCTGAAGGAGCGAACCGACCTCGGGCGATGGCATCGTCCAGAAGGTACTGAGGAACTTGCGTTGACTTGCCTGGCCCGAGCCCCATGAAAGATCCAAAGGCCGTTTTTTTTGTGGTTTAGGGTTTAGGGTTTAGGGGTGGTTGAATAACCTTAATGACAAGCCCTACTCCAAGTATAGGAACGGTACCTACGTTGGGGTCTAAAGTCCAAATAGTCTGTGCTTTGGGCTATTTGGGGCCACAGATTACAGGGATGTGGGCCTGGGCTCGTGTACAAATAAAGATAAATTAGGGCTTCGGGTTTAGAGTTGAGGGTTTAGGGGTTTTGGGTTCAGGGTTTCGAGCTTTAGGAAACATCCATGAGACTTCCGAGTAGTACAAAGGAGGGCCAGGCCGGCAATCTTCAGCCTCTTGCTGAGTTTGGTTTAGCCCGCCATCGGGCTTTCGGCCTATTTAAGGCTTCTCTTGACCCTTTACTTTTGGGGCTCTTAAAAGGTAGGTTTTGGGGGTCCAGGTATCTCTCACTGAAACTTCGGATTTGTGTTTTTAAGCGTTTCGTGAAGGGTTTAGGGGTTTAGGGGTTGCGGCTTTTTGGGGTCTAGGGGGCTCTATGGGTCACGTAGGGCCTCTACGAATCCGGAACCCCACTCCCGAAACTTTTTCGGGTTTGGGTCTAGAAGGCCCTAGTGATAATTTAAGGCTTGTGCGCACCCGGAAAACCCACGACCGTGCAAAGCCGACGAAGCCTAAGGCCCTGTAGATGCTATCCCTAAACCCTAAACCCCTATATCTTCTGAACACACTAAACTCTAAATCGCTTGCAACTGTTGAGAGCACTGTAAGGCTCAGGAAAGAAGGGTTTTAGAGGCTTCGGGCCTGATGTAGGGGCCTCAATAATAATGAATAGGGTTTTGGGGTATATTATACTACTATTATGGCAAGGAACCCCCAAAGTACTAGTGGTAATTATTCAGGCCCCTATTATAAAGGCCTGAACAGTCTGACTGACAGCCGCATGACTTGAATGCTAAACTGCTAGACTGTGTTCAACATGTCTCCACCACGACACGGCTAATTACTTGATCAGACTTGCCGCCACGTCATGTACGTCTGTCCTCTCGGTCGGCCACAGTTTCCGAAGTAAAAACTCTGACCCACCATTGGGCCATTGGACAATGACGAGGGTCACGCATGTTTGCTCATAGTCCCTAAACCCTAAACCCTAAACCCTACATCAACAAAAAACGGATGCCATGGCATGGCCCAGCCGGTCAGGGACATTCCCAAAGGGCCATTCAAGGTCGTAGACTTACACTGCGCATGAAAGCATGTATTCGGAGACCTTGTGCAATCAGCTCTCCAAGTTGAAATGGCTCAAGTTAATGGCCCCTGCGATGAAGATTCGATGACTTACTTTATGGTAACGACTCAGCAAAGACTGAGACCAGCAGCTTCCCACAAGAGGAACAAGGTCACGACTTCACCTGTGAGTTAAGCTTTGGGTTTCGTCGGTTATGAGGATTTGATTTTAGGGGTTCAGGGGTTATGGTCTAAGATTAAGGCCGTCATCGAATTAAAAACAGGCCCAGCAACACAACTGACCCAACATCATACTTACGAAGACGACCCAGCGGAAACCCTGACCCACCAGCATGCTTACGAAGACGACTCAGCAACCACCGTGACCCAACACAGTGCTTACACTGCGTAGACGACCCTTTCTTATATAGAAGGAACACCTACTTTCCAGACACCTGAGAGACAACTGGACTATAAGACTATACTACAACTATAAAACGGACCCCCCCCAAAAAAAAAGAAAAAAACAATAGTATAGGAAAAAAATTAAGCCCCTATAGTAATCATGACCTATATAACAAGGAACCCCCCACCCCACCCCACCCCACCCCACCCCCCACCCCCCCCCAGAAAAAAAAACTAGTATTGGAAACTATTTAGGCCCCTATATTGGAACCCTGACCCCCCTACCCTTTAAGGTTTCAGGGTTTAGGGTTTAACGAGGGGAGCGGGGCTTCCATAATAGTACTAAGTGACTATATATGGGTGGTTGTCAAAATTATGGTCCCTTTTTGGGTCCTTTTTTAATACGGCACCTATTATTTAGGGTACCCCAAATGGGACCATAATTTTGACAACTACCCATATGGAGCCTCTAGGTATATTGGCACCCTGACCCCCTGCCCTAAGACAGCTCTGCCTGAGCCGGTTTCTGCTGCGACCAGCGTCACTCGGCTTCGACCTTAGGCTCCCCTGCTCTGGGTGTCTAGGGCTTAAGGGGTGTAGGGTTTAAGGGTTTAGGGTTTTAGGGTTAGGGTTTTGGGGTTTGGGGTATAAAGATTCCACAGCAGCGTTTTGGGGTAAACCAAAGTCGGGGAGCCGCTGGGCTCGGGTTTAGGATTTAGGGTTTAGGAGCCGTCCACAGCTAGCCTCAACCCGCACACCACCCGGCCACTTGGAGTAAGTCATTACTTACGGAAATGAAGCGTATTGGGTCTTCGGGTCTTAAGTTGCCCTAAACTGCAGATACTCTACTTCCTGCATACCAAGGAAGCTAGAGGTAAAATGCTCAAAACCACACTCACAAAACTATACTGCAATTACATAAGGACATCAAGGGCATCTTGTTCCGAACCATTTAGGCCCTCGAAGTTGACACCACGTTCTTGCAGAGTCCCGTGTGTGGCGCGCCCATGTACCCCAAAGACAGCTTACCTGCATGGGTAATGTTAGGGTTTAGGGTTCAGGGCTTAGGGTTTAGGGCTTAAAGACCAAACACCACATCCCGTAACCCTAAATCCGAAACCCTAATCGTTGAACTCTACCGACCACCTTAAGGACGAAATGACCCTTAAAAGTAGGGGCCCTATGCCCTTATACTATGAACCCTATATGGTTTATGAACCCTAAACATTAAACCCTAAACCTTAAACCCCAAACCCCAGACCCTCAACCCTAAACCCTAGACCCTAAACCCTTAACCCTTTTAGGGTTCCTGTCGTCCTTAAGGCAAACTGAGCCTTCCCACGGATCGCTTCCAAGAGCCGAGGGCGAGCCTACACGGTGGAAGTGCATCGGAAGTGACAGGGTTTAGGGTTCAGGGCTTAAGCCCAAAACAGTTCATAATACGGCAATTATTGTTTAGGGTTTAGGGTTTGGGGTTTAGGGTTTAGGGCTCTACCCTAAGGCTCTTATGCTTTTATGGGCTTTCTAGGGGAAGGTTTGGGCTTTGGGGGCTAAGGTTTGGGCTTTCACTATGGGGTCCATGAGCCTTAGGGTAGGGTTTAAGGTTTGGGCTTATGGGGGTGTAGGGCTTATGGGGTTTAGGATTTAGGGCTTGTGGGGTTTAGGAGTTAGGGCTTATGGGGTTTAAGGCTTATGGGGGTTTAGGGTTTAAGGCTTATGGGGGTTTATGGTTTAGGGCTTAGGTGTCAGGGGCCACCTGGACTCGAAAATGTACTACATTTATTTGGCTGTCGTAGTACCCAAAGAGTCATACCCTACCCCTTCTTTAAGGTACCTGGTTTTATGGTTAGGATCTGTTATGTTAGAAAGTAGGTACGCTTAACAAAGGCGTAGGGTATGACCCTATAGGTAGTTCTCATTGTAGGATCCCCAAAAAGAGGCACAGTCCTTGGCCTAGGTAGAAACCTCAGACATCCTCTTTTACGTTCGAGAAGCTCTTTGTCTTTTGAGAAATGTTTGAGAAATGTCTCAGGAAGCCGTAATGTAGGGGCCTCAAAAATTAGAACAGGTTTTTGGGTGTATATTATATTAAAAATATACTGAGGAAGCCCTAAACCCTAAACCCTAAACCCGAAACCGTACCCTAAACCCTAAACCCTAAAAAAAAAAAAAAGAAAAGCATGTAATTCTTAATGCCCCCTATATTAGCTGCTCATCCAACGGACCTTCGAGTCTTCAGGCCGGGGGTGCCTGATTCTGAACCCCTCGTAGGGTGTAGGGTTTAGGGTTGCAGATAAAGTTTAGGGTTTTGAGGGTTTATAGGGTTTAGCCCCAAGTGGTTATAGGGTTTAGGGCTTAGGGTTGCAGATCAAGTTTAGGGTTCACCAGCCAGCTCAACAGGACCCTAGCCCCCCATGACGCCGCTGCAAGCCAAGAGGCTGCTGCTGGGCAAGGGCATCCTTGAGCCGAGCAGTGTGCCGGCCCATGCGGCAAAGATGCTATGTCACACAGGGGCCCCGTGCCCAGTTAACATCGGATAGCCAGGCATGCACCTGTGAGCATGTGCACATGCCTTGTCGTGGTGCTCTCGCACTGCCAACCTTGAGGCGCTTCGCTCCCCCATAGAGCATGGGTGGACGATCACATGGGCGAGGCCGACAGTTTGGTTCAAATCTTTTGAACTCAGCGGCCACCGCCATGCTCGGCTTGTCCTCCCTCATCAGCAGGGCTTGTCGGAGACAAAGAGTCCGCCGCCTGAGACGCAAAATTGCTTGGGCACACCCGAATCCTAAAGACAAGCTACCGAATCCGCGACGGTCAGGACCTCGGTCTCACTGGGGATCTCGGTGGGGATCATCGAGGGCGAGGGCTGCTCGGCTGTTCAACCATCAAATTCTGTGCAGCAAGCAGCCCGAAACCCAAATCTCCGACTCCTCCTCNNGTTCCAAGAGGCTTACGCTCGCGCCGGTTGTCTGCGCCGCAAACCCCTAAACTTGCTATCACAACAGCAAAAGCCTGCACAATAGCGAAAAGCAACGCCTTAGAGACGTCTAGACTGCTGTGAACCTTCACTATTGCTTTACAAACCGACCTGCATCAGGAGCCAAGACAAAGAAACCATAGGTAGGAACCCAGAAACCGTAGCACGTAACCGCAAACCTTAAACCCGAAGCTCCCAAGCCCTAAACCCAAAAACTTCAAAAACAACTCTTAACCCCCGACCCCGAACTCCTAAACCCCAAATAGCAAATAACCCTAAACCCTAAATCCAAACCCCTAAACCCCTAAATCCCTAAACCCCTAAACCCCTAAATCCTAAACCGCCTCACAGATTGGCAGCGCCCAGCGCTCTCTAAGGCGATCCTGACAGGAGGCGGCTCAAGAGGCCTCTTTTGGGTACTGCCCTAGGGCTCTTAGGGTTCGGGGTTTAGGGTTTAGGGTTTTAGGGTTTAGGGTTTAGGGTTTAGGGTTTAGGGTTTTAGGGTTTAGGGTTTAGGGTTTAAGGTTTTGGGGTTTAGGGTTTAGGGCAAGTACCCTAAGGCTCTTATTGCTGTTATGGGCTTCCTGGGAAGGCTTGGGCTTTGGGGGCTAAGGTTTGGGCTTTCACTATGGTCACTATGGGGGTCCGTGAGCCTTAGGGTAACAGTTCATAACGGGGCAATGTATTAAGGGTCTTATACATTTCACATATGTCACTAAACCTAAACCCTACCCTAAAGCCTAGACCCAAAACCCTAAACTCTAAACCCTAAACACTAGACCTCAGACCTGAAACCCCAAACCCTGGACCCTAAACCGTAAAGTCTAAACCATAAACCCTAAAACCTAAACCGAGTGGAGACAGTATCCCCTTTAAAACGGGACCAAAGTCTCCTATGGTGGTTTAGGGCCAATGTTTAGGGTTTCCTGCGGGGACTACATGCAAAAGGTAATCTTTAGTCTAGGGTTGGGGTTTAGGGCTTAGGGTTGAATAAGGGGGACAGGAGCTTGAAAATGGGGTTTATATATATATATATACACACACAAACAGAGGTGGTATAATTATGCTTAAACTCATTTACAACAATAAGGAACCAAACAACATACTGTTGCTAGTTACTAGACAGCTCCACATCTTGGGCAACTGGATCCACCACCAGGTAGTGATGATAGATGCTTGCTCCGCATAGAGCGCTTTGTCGAGCGTTGGCAAGTCTCGTGTGGATGGTGGCGCGCTCCTTTCCAAGACATGTCACCTTAAGGACGAAATGACCCTCAAAAGTATGGGCCCTACGTATACCCTTATGCTATGAATCCCTATATGGTTTTAGGATCCCTAAACCCTTTTAGGGTTCATTTCGTCCTCAAGGCATGCAACACAAGCATATCAATCCGTGGGAGCTGGCCACTCGCATTCCAATTTCCTGTGCCCGGCTAGCCTTCTGAGTGCTTGGATGCTCTCTAGCCACACTAAACCCTAAACCCTAAACCCGAAACCCTAAACCCTAAATCCTAAACCCTAAACCCTAACCCTAAAACCTAAACCCTAGACCCTAAACCCTAAACCCTAAACCCTAAACTCTAAACCCTAAACCCTAAACCCGAAACCCGAAACCCTAAACCCTGAACCCTAAACCCTAGCCGGTGGGAACTTCGACGCTGGCCGGCGATCCGCCTGTCGGGTAGCCTTTGTATCCCGTGGCCTGGGCGGCCACTTGGAGTCAGGGTTTAGGGTTTAGGGTTTAGGGTTTAGGGTTTAGGGTTTAGGGTTTAGGGTTTAGGGGTCCACTTGAGCCGGCGTGAGGTTAGCTTCCTAGGGCAACTAAGGGCTATACTTTGGAATTATGTAGGTCGGGCCTTCAGTAGCCCTAGAAGGTTACATGATACTTGCTCTACTACTAAGTCAAGGGGGTTTTTAAAGTCTTGTATTGTCTGTTCGAGGCCAACTTGTTCAGCTAGTCCCGACACCTGCTCATCTACTTAAACCCTTGAAACACCGTTTTGACGTAAACCCTAAACCCTAAACCCTTACCCTCCAAGGAATCATAATTTAAGGCTTTTGGGCCCAAAGACCCTATTATATGAGGCTTTTGGGCGATTTTTATGCTAAGGGTATGTATGTTGTGACTTCTAAATCACCTGAGACCCGCAACTCCCACCTGGACACAAATCAGCAGACCCAACATGGGCAGTTCTCTAAATTAGGGTCCCTGGTGGGGTTCTTTTTATGCCGTACTATATTGGGGACCTAAAAATAGGGCCCTTAATCTAGAGAACTACCCACGTGATGATCACACTCCGCTAAACTTCCTTGTGAGCTACTGGAACCCTTTCCAAAGCCCTTGTAGAAGCATCCTGCAAAAATCCGTATCACACCCTTACCAAGCACGTATCAAACCCTGGTCGCCCCCCCTCACAAGCTTTATATAACCCTATAGGTACCATAGGTATGTATAACCCTAAGGGTCCAAGTGCCCAAATAGTAGGGTTTCAAGGTCCAAAAACCATTCAGAGTATGGATTTGGGGACCGAAAACCTTACTATTTGGGTACTCGGACCCTCTGGGATATAACCCTATAGGTACCATAGGTATGTATAAGGCTTTCGGACTCAGCTCCTGAAACCGCCACTCGCGGTCTGCCTGTTCCTGCGCCCCCGGGGACTGCGGCTTGGTTCACCCTAAGGGTCCTAACACTTTCGGGTTTAGGGTTTAGGGTGTTTTTTCAAGTGTAATGTCGCCCCTTTTCCAAGAAGCACTGCCTTACAGGCTTACACGGTGAAACGAGCATTGTAGAGTTTCCGCAGAATCGTGTAGAAGGGTTTAGGGTTTAGGGTTTAGGGTTTCGGGATTCTAGGCCTGGGGTTTAGAGTCTACGCAAAGGGTCCTAAGACTTTTCGGACACCTCAAAAAGTACCATTTCTGAGACCCCAAAGAGACCCAAGGGCTCTCCCTAGGAGATTCCGGACCCTCCTAAAGAGATACCTGGACCCTTAGGGTAAACCCTAAAACCTATAGACCCTAAA